ATAGTTTGTGTGTGTGTGTGTGTGTGTGTGTGTGTGTGTGTGTGTGTGTGAGAGAGAGAGAGAGACAGAGGGGGGGCACTTAATAATTTCTGGGCTTTGCAGAGATTTCTGGGAACTGAGGAGTATTTTTCTTGAACTACTTCTAACTAGCCATGTAAGCTACCCAGAGACTCTTACTATTGATTAGTGCCCGAATGGGGAAGGATTTGGGCCTGGGCCTGAGCATGGGCAAGGGTTGCTACATCTAGGAGTATTTCCTGGTAAAGAAGGAAAAACATGTAGCAGCATTTGTGTGGGACTATACTGTTGTTGGCCTCTATGGCATTGTGATACTTGTTCCCAGGTTTCCTTTGATTAATGTCATTTTGTTGCTTTGAGTCCTTAACCCAGGCCCCACAGCTTTGCCAGTTCTTAAGTTTTGCACCAGGTGTTTCCTTGTGACTTCATGCTCCCCGAGGCACACTGGATATGTAAATGTGTCCTATGTCAGATTTTCCAGATCCTTAGTCTCTGGAGTTCTTGGCTGGGTTCCTTGCTGTCTAGGCAGGCAGTATTGCTGAGGGGTCCTCCAAGTGCTGAGCCTGACTCGGATGTGGCTCTGTTAGAATCAAATGAAATCCAGAGTTTAATACATGGGACAGAATGTAGTTGCTTATGTCCTCATTTGGCTTATGGAATCGCCTGCTTGTCAAAGGCCTATTTAAATTTGAATTTTAAGTAATGCACTCAGGGGAAATCGAGCTAAGCCAAATCTTTGTGACATTTTTTCCCTCCCTCATCATTTCTCTTCTGCTAACAATGTTGCATGTTTTACTTTGTCTAGGATTTTCAACAAAGACATGTCTGACAAAATGTCTAGTTTCCTACATATTGGAGACATTTGTTCTCTGTATGCGGAGGGATCTACGAATGGATTTATCAGCACCTTGGGGTAAGAGTGTGAAAATCCTTACGGTGGGCGGTGGTGGTGTTTAAGATATCATCTGCTTAAAAACTGATTTTTTTAAAAGATAAGAATGCTATCAGGTTACTCAGCTTTCCCAAGGGCTGCTTGAAATTAGCAGGTCCCATGTTAGTCACCTCACCTTTTATACAAAAATACTTTGACCAGTTTCGAAAGAACAAAACCTACTTAACTAAGGCTCTATTAATTTCAAATTTGTTATAGTCTACTCTTCTTTTATATAAGAGGGAAAGAGCTTAAGAATAGGGAACACATTTAAAGATTAATATATACAGACCCAAAGAAATGCCTTTAGGCTTTGTGGAAAAGCCCTTTGGTTTGTCTGTTCACACAGTGGCTCATGTGTAATTCGAGCAAAGACCATTACTGCTTGCATGCTTATCTCTCTTCTTGGACACACAACCTTTCCTACTTTAAATAACCAAATGCATTAGAAAGTTTCAAATGGCACCGAGTTCTGTAAATCACTTCTGTTCATTTGTGCTTCCTTCAATCAGTTTTCACTCAGCTTTGAAGGGTTCAAATAGATTCCGTTGTGTGCCTCTAGTTCTTTTCTCCCTTTCCCCTCCTACTCCTGTTGTCTAAGGGAGGAAGTGTAAAGTGTGGTAAGTAGCCCCTACAGGCAGACAGAGGTAGAATGGAGAATCAAGATGCCTTATTCCAGAATAGTCAGGGATAGTCTGTCATCTTTGTGTAGGAAGGAGTAGCTAGGCCTGGGTGGCATCGTTGATTTTGGCAAGACCTACTCTCAAATAAGTGGGGGCAGAAGGCAGGCCAACAGATTTTCCAAAAGCCCCATTCTTATAGCAGCCAGAATGTCCGTTGTAATTACAGCTGTTACTGGAAGCTTGCTTATTTTCTGGTGTTTGTGCAGAGTGAGTATTGTTAAGCGCCATTCAGGTTACTCCACCCCCGATGAGGAAATTATTTCAGATAACAGAGTTATACCTCAGCTAGACCTATGTTCTCATTCTATAGAGTGTTTATTTTCAGAAACTTACCCATGGCCTCTTGCTATGCTTGGTCTCTCTGCATAGTAGACCCTCAATGGTTTATCTTCTGTGGCTTTGGGCAAGCAGGCTTCCTGCTACTCATGCCTCTCTGATTATGGCCATCTTGGCTCTCTCCTTCCTCTCTTTATCCCCTGTGGTTACATTTTTCACCCTCTTCTTATTTTTCAGCATTGACTACAATACTATACAGCAGTGGTAAGCACTCCCTGAGCCTGGTGGGTGTTCACTGTGTGCCAGGTGCTGTTCAAAGTCCCATGTCTCCATTATCCCCTTAACTCCCAAGCACCCTGGTCATGGTGAGCACTGCCATATTCACTGTATATGGAAAGGGCACTTGTGTGCTTCAGGCAGGGTCAGACACTTGCCCAAGTTTCAGAGCTCAGAAGACTGGGTCTTGGAGGCCAGGGGTCCTAACACATAACTTTTGTAGGGCAGTTTCTTCTGGCTTCCCTGTCTGCTCACTGCCTGTCTGGGTACCTGTCAGACCTTAGCTTCATCATACATCCGTTTTTCCACTGTGGCCTCTGATGTCACAGATCCTACCCCTAAAATCTTAGCTTCCTCTTATTTGTTCCCTTTCAAGAAGACATCCATTATTTTATATTATTATTATTATTATTATTATTATTATTATTATTATTTGAGGCAGAGTTTCTCTGTGTAGCCCTGACTGTCCTAAAACTCAATCTGTATACCAGGCTGGCCTCAAACTCACAGAGATCTGCCTGCTTCTGCCTACCGAGTGCTGAGATTAAAGGTGTGTGCCACCACGACCGACATTATATTATTATTTTGAGCCTGGTCTGACCTTGAAATCCTCTTGCCTCAGATTTCTAAGTGTACACTTATAGATGTGCATCATTCTTAAAATTCATAGGGGTGCACATTCTTTGATTTAATTTTTTTTCAAGCATTCTGTGTTGAGTCCCTCATAAAGTTAGGATGTATGTTTTTAAACTTTGGGTACTAATTCTTCCTTCCAATGAGTATTATTCACCTTCTCACTCATACATATTTGAGAATAGCTTGCATAAACATTAAGTTGAAAGTTAAATTTGACCCGTTCTCCCGATTCTTGGAATGGGCTTAATATTTATGGAATACCAGTCATAGACACAATGAGTGACTGTCAGTCCTCATAAGACTTGGTGTCTGGTAGTTACCCCTTAGTGGCTTTATGAGTTCTTGAACTTTAAAATTCCAGCAGGACCTTGGAGAGCCAGTGAGTGAGTGTGTGTGTTTGTGTGTGTGTGTGTGTACACTAATGGATGGTGTGTTTTTAAATCACCTTTGGAGCTTGTTAAGAACTAATGCTCTTAGATCCTTTCCAGGAACAGAATTTCAGTGTGCCTGAGTAGGAGTGATAGGATTGTGACAGGACTCTGGAATTGATACATTTAGAAGCAGAAAGTATCCAAACCTTCCCTGGATGGAGAATCTTGAACACAATTCTTGGGTTTTATAGATAAAGTACTAAGACAAGGGGCAAGTGAAATGAAATGTTATCTACAATTTATTCTCAAGGAGACTCTTCCTTCTATCACTTCCTCTTACTGCAACTTGGTCATTAGTCCAGTTTTTTTTTTTTTTTTTTTTTTTTTTTTTTTTTTTTGGTTTAAAGAGACTGAGTTTTGCTGTGGGTTTGGTGTCTGTCCTGTAACTAGCTCTGGTAGACCAGGCTGGTCTCGAACTCACAGAGATCCGCCTGCCTCTGCCTCCCGAGCGAGTGCTGGGATTAAAGGCGTGCGCCACCAATGCCCGGCTTTTTTTTTTTTTTTTTTTTCATTAGTCTAGTTCTGCATTGTGTATGTCCTGCTAGGACACTACAATGTTCTGTAGTGTCTTCTACATAGTAAGTAATTACTGTCACACTGAACTATGTCACCAGCCCTTGCATTGGTTTCTGAGCCCACCCTTTTAAGTATCAGGCTAGCTTTGGTGGCCTGTAATGATAACTCTTTTTGCCAGCTGCCTAGGTTCTGCTACCGCTTTAGGGCCCCCAAATAACACACAGAGTCTTATATTAGTTATAGTGCTGCTGGCCAATGACTAGGATTTCTTATTTGCTAGCTCAGTCTTAATTATCAACCATAACTACTAATGTATATATTTTTACAAGAACTTACCATACCGAGGACACCTGCCTTATGTGTCCTCTCTTCCTGGGATCACATGGTGACTCCTGTCTACTACATTTCCCAAAGTCCCCCTTTTCTCCTCCTCCTGCCTAACTTGCTTCCCTATTGGCCAACAATGCTTTATTTATCAATCAATAAGACAAACATATACATAGAAGGACCTCCCCCATCAGTGGCCTCCCCAAACTTGTATTGTTCATACAAGGGCTCAGGGTAGAGATTTTATATGTCCATTATACTCTTGATTTTTGTAGAAAACCCTCAGGCCACTGATCATATTGAACATTGTGACTCTTCTAGAGGCCTAGTGAGGTCTTGTGTTTTGAGGGCAAATGTGGGATACTCTTCACGCTTTATATACTTCACTTGACAGATACTGAGCTTCAGCCTTGGGCATCTTATGAGTCACAAAGCAGGAAGCTCATTACATTGCTTCCATAGAGCTTGGATGGGAGAGTGGAGAAGAAGGGACTTTCTAGGCAAGAAAGGCTTCTGTGGGGTATATATTTTAGGGCGGACTTCAGGAGGTCAGTTTTGAAGGAAAGAGCAGGAAAGGTCAAAGTTATTTAATGGCCCCTTGCAATTGGAATAAGAGGCAGCATAGGCTAATGGAAAAGGTTCCAAAAATCCTAGCATGGTACCTATGACCAAGTTCCATGGTCCTGAGTGAAATGAGCTGGCCCTCCTAGTTTTAGGACTTTGGATAAATCATGTAACTTCAGAGTATATCAGTGTCTCAGAAGTTCAAAATTATGTTTATTTTTAGTGATTTTCCTAAAAAGAATTATGCAAGTTAAATTAAGTTTTAATGAAGTCAGAACTTGAGTTATCAGTCTTTGTGTAATCTGGGATTCTTACTCATTTGTAACTTCATTGTGCTTTTGAAGCTCCAAGCCCTTCCCATTTCTGTGCATTTGCACTGGCTTCCCACCACCTGCTCCATTCCTCAGGCTTCAATCTCTATTTCAGCTCTTGCAACAGTTCTGAAATGTCTTCCTCTGTCCAAAGCTTCAGAAGGCCTCTTTTCCTCCTCTTTAGGTTATGCCTTATTTATTAGTTTGTTTTTATGGCTTTTATACCTAAGCCTTGAGCTTTTCCAGGGCTGGGCTTGGCTCACTTTAGTCCTCACATCTTAGGACTTGGTACAGTTCCTGGTGAAGGGTTGGCTCCTCACCTACCATTTGTTGAATGCATTGACCCTTTGTGTCTTCCAGACTTCAGCAATACTGCATGTTGTGTGCAAATCTGTCACCGATGTGGTCCTGGGAAAAGGAACCGCAGAAAACAGTAACTCAACATGTCTATCACAGAAATAGATTTCTGGGCATTGGGATTAGGTTTATTTCACTCCTTCCATAGAATAGTTCACTCCATGGTCAACAGCTCCCTGGCAGAGGAACATGGCATTCTAAGTGTTTCATAGGAAAAGCTCTGGGGTACTCCCATTGTTCATTGAGTGTTTTACTTCCCTAGTCTTGGTGTGATACAACATTTGTTTTTCTTTTTGCAGCCTGGTGGATGATCGTTGTGTTGTGCAGCCAGAAGCTGGGGACCTTAACAATCCACCCAAGAAATTCAGAGGTAAGGTTGTAGCTCTGATGCAGTGGTCATCTGGACTTCCTTGACAATTTATGAAGAGTGTTCCTGTGACTGTGAGGGCAACTGGCCCTCCCTCCCTCTGTTCCTTCCTGCTCCCATCCTTTCTTCCTTCCTGTGGCAACCTTAGGTTTATTTACTTAAGTATATTTGTCAAAATCAGATTCAAGTCCTGGCATTAAAACTTCTTGAAAAAATGTGTAAATAAATTCTTAGTCAAGATTGGCATGGCTTTTATTAGGGCCTTAGTTTGTCTACAGAATATGTGTTGCCAAGTGCTATTCATCTGAAAGTTTTTTGTTAGCATAGCTATTTCTCCAAACAAATGGGATTTAAGGATCCAGTCACAGGGAGCATGGGCTATTTCAGCAGATCTCATGATCCCTCTTAGGGCCTTGAGAATTCTTAGCTGTCTTACCTGGAATGAGATGTTCTTGATTATTGAACTTGTACTTGAGCTAAATGGGCAACTTTCATCAGGGCAACTTTCCTATTAATGCCACCTTCTGTAGCCTTGTGTTTTTAAATTTTCTCAGAATGTAGCTCAGTTTATTGCAGAGAGTGTTTGAACTGTAGTTGGAGTCTTAGATGTCATCTCTTTGCTTCTGTAGGGACAGTGGTAGTTAAGTGATTCTCAGTTCGAGCCCCATCTTAGAATTACCTAGAGAAACTTTTCCATTCCATAGATGCTCTGGACCAATTAAGTTAACCCTAGAGGGAGGGCACTGTTTTTTTGTTGGTTGGTTGGTTGTTGTGTTTTTGAAATAGAATCTCATTATGTAGTTCTGGTGGTCCTGGAACTTACTATGTAGACCAGGCTGGCCTTGGGTTTACAAAGATCCACCTCTCTTTCTGTCTCCAGTGCTGGGATTAAAGGTGTGTGCCACTACACACTGCCCCACACTAGCATTTTTTAAGGCTTCCAAGGTGGTTGAAAAGTTACATTTATTATTTATTTGTTTATTAATTGTGCATGTGTACATGTATGTGCCACCTTTCGAGGAGGTCAGAGGACATCTTGGTTTCCTCCTTTCAGCTTGTGAGTTTGAGGGATTGGACTCAAATGGTCAGGGAGACCCATAAGACATTTTTTCTCCTTAAAACAAGGAGAAGTGCTTCTTTAATGAGCCCCTACTGAGAGTGTGGCTCAGACCACTGCAGACTTGTGTCTGTTGGATCTTGAGTCCAATGGCTTGACCACTTGGCCATCCTGGTGACACAAGTGATTCTTCTATGTCGTGGGGTTGGGAACCCACAGACTTAGGTATTTGACTCATGGCCTCAGTCACAGGGGGTTCAGCACTTTCCGGATGTAGATTCTATCATCTGCATTCTGAATTCTTTGTGTTGAGTGATTTAGAAACCGTTTGACTCCTTTGGATGAAAGCTAAAGAAGTTAGGATGAAATTGAAGACGGTTGTTCAGATGGAAAGGGGCCATTTGGATGCAGCATGGTGTTGAGCTGGATCCAGTTGGCACAATGCTATCAGGAGAATGTTTTCACCTGAAGATGAGGGAAAACTATTTTAAAAACAAAAATGAGCCATAGAAACTTGCAGCAGCTCTTGCTTCTGCTGAATTTTTTCTTCACAATCCCTCCCCCATGGCCTGTTCTTAAGCAAAATCTTGAGTGAGGCAGAAATGAAAGATTTTATCTAATGACCGCAATGTCACTTAGAGAATTAATTCCTGGCCCAACATTGGTCACTGTGCTAGGAGAGGATGCTATCTGTGTTAGCTCAGTGGGAGGGTCCTATCTCTTCTGTACTGGACAGGGATGGATTAGACCCAGACCTGAGCATCTCACCTATGGTCACATAGCTTCAGGCAGATGGAAGTAGGAGTTTGGATCTCAAGTTTGACTGCACAAGCAAATCACCTGGAGAGCTATGAAACATACTAATAACTGCTCCCACCTGCTGTGTTCCTGATTTTATTGGGCATTGGGGTTTTCTAAAGCTCCCCAGGTAATTCTCTTGTGCAACCATGGTTAAGAATCATTGCTAATATCTATAAGCTACCAATTTCCTTGCTGAGGGAAGGGCTAATCTAGGCTTGGCTTAGATTAGTTGGTACCCAGAAAAGGGATGCTGGTCAGGAGCAGATGCTGGGTCCTGGGTCTAGTAGGACCTCTTGTTCCAGCTCAGCTTTGGGGGTCAAGACAAAGCTGGAAGAGTGCAATGAATAATGATAACCAATGGCTGTTGATTATTTTTTTAAATATTGTCAAATATTACTTTTTATTTTTAAGCTAACAAAATTGTATATATGTATGATTTGAAATTGGCAGAAGTTGTGGAATGCCTAAATTGGGCTAATTAGCATGGATTTCTTCATGTTGCTTTTGTGATGCGAGTTCCCCAAATTTACTCTGAGGTTTTCAAGTGTTTACTTTGTTGTCGTCACCATGTTGTACAATAAATCTTTTGAATCTGCTCCTCCCACCTAAGTGAGATCTATAGCTTTTGACCTTATTCAACCTCCCATCTTTTTTTGTTTTGTTTTTGTTTTTGTTTGGTTTTTTGAGACAGGGTTTCTCTGTATTGTTTTGGAGGCTGTCCTGGAACTTGCTCTGTAGACCCGGCCTGCCTTGAACTCACAGAGATCCGTCTGCCTCTGCCTCCTGAGTGCTGGGATTAAAGGTGTGCGCCACCAACGCCCAGCTTCAACCTCCCATCTTAACCCCAGTACCCAGTAACCTCTATTCTACTCTCTGCCTCTCTGAGTTTAAGTTTTTACAAATAAAAATGATCATACAGTATTTATTTTTTTGTGCTTGCCTAATTTCATTTAACATTATGTCTTCCAGTGTTTTTTTGTTTTTTTTGTTTTTTTTTTGTTTTTAATCACAAATGATCAAGTGACAGGATTAGGACATTTAAGTAAATAGGATCAGTGCAGAGGAAGTCAGCAGCTAGAGAGATTTCCCTGGCAGCAGGGTCAGAGTGGCTCTTGCTTGACTGCGGCGTCTCTGGTGGCTGATTTGAAGAAACTGTTTTGAAATCAAACCAACAGTCTGGTAGAGGCCATTTGGAAATAGCCAATCTCCTTTTATGTTCTGACTTAGTTCTACAGGTAGGAATGAGACATTGACTTGGTTTATTGATTTTCTAGGTAGTTTTTTTTTTCTTCTTCTTTTTTTTTTTGTGAACTGCTTTGTACTAGTGGGGAAATCTGGCTCAAAATAAGTGGTGCTGCAGGCTTTGTAAATATAGGTCACAACTTCCTAACCTCTGTGTGCTAAGTTTGAGCTCTCTGCATGCAGGTAAGAAGCCTGGCCAATAACCTCTGCAGGCTGCTGCAAAGCTGGAGAGATCTCCACCTTGGACTTGGGGAGGAAATACTTTAAATTTTTTTTGAAAGCATCTCTTCAGTTGTGGTGCCGTCTACTTCAAGAATTTAACCCCCAGAAGTGAAGAAAAAGATCTCTTTTTCGGAAGCCTGTCCAACTATAAGTACATTTTGAAGATGAAGGTCATTTTTGTGGTTTAGAAATTGTGCACAGGGCAGATGGGCAGTTTGTAGGAATTCCTGCTTCATTCGGTATGGATCCTTCATGCCTTGTAGTTGACAAACACATATGGAAAAAGAGAGATGCTGGCAAGCAGCCCAATGGAATGATGGGGCCTTTATCTGAACAATCAGCAGAGCTTCGTTGAGTCACTTGGATTTGCTTTAGTTTCCATTGTTGGCTTGCCAACTGCTTTTCCATATTGAGAACCGTTATAAAGTGTTCTTTAGTAGATGGAAATGGGAGGGAGCCTGTTTATGTTTTGCTCCCCATGACTTCTGACTTTGGGGTTCTAGTTTTGGGAGTTCCTTCTGAGCTTTGCAACCCTGCTGTTTAAGAACATGGAACCTTAGACCAGTGAACTTTTCTGGGAACCTCTGTGACCTGGCTGTCTCAACTTTAATAAGAGATAAATGTGTGTGAATAATTTAGTTTTTGATGAAATTCTGTGAGTTATGACAAGGTAAGTGGACCTGGAAGACACATTATGGCAGTGAAACAAGATAGAGACAGATAGGAAAAGACTGTGCTTTCACTCAAGGGGAATCCTAAAAAAAATTATCTCATAGAAATTGAGAATTAAGCAGTGGTTAGTAGAGATCACAGAGAATATAAGGAGTGAAGATGAGAGGACTGGTCAACAGATACAAGGTTAGAAGGAATAGGGACTGGTGTATTCTAGTGCAGAATAGGGTAACTATGGCTAAGAATCCTTCAGTGGGTGTTTTCAAATACCTTGAAGAGATGATTTTGAATATTAGTACTAGGAAGAAGTTACAAGGGCTAGGATGTGGCTCCATGGTAGAAATCTTGCTTCACATGTGTGAGGACATGGATTTGACCTCTTAGTTGCACAAAAAGAAGAGAGAATCAAGGTGGTAACTATTTAAAGTGACAAATAAACTAAGCACACCAATTAGATTATAAGGCAATAAATATATGAGTTGAAACATAATATTGTACCCCTGCTATGTATCACGAATAAAAGCAAAACAGAAACACTAACTTGAAAAAGAGTAATTTAGTGCTTAGTAAGCCTTCATTATGCTTACCTTTTCAGTTCTCGCTCTTAGACAGAACCTGGTCTTCATAAATGGTAGCAGATGACAGGGAACTCTATGTGAGTCCTTCAGTGAAAATGAACATTGTCTACCATTACTCTCTTATCTTATAGTGTTGTGGATATAAGAGTGTACACATGGACTCTCGTGCTTAGATTCGAGGCCCATTGCTGTCCTGTATAAGTTGAGTGTTCTTGAGAGACTATGTAATTTTCTGATCTTGCCCACCATTAGAATGGGGGATTTCCTTCCTTGCAAAGGTAATAGAATTGAAGAAAAATGTGGAGAAATAGGGTGATTAGGTTGGGCCACTCCTTAGGAACGCTTGCAGAAAGGTTAAGTATTGAGTGCCCTTGATTTTCTCTGATGCTTGCAAGTGCATTTCCAAAATGAATCTCTCTTTTCATGCATTT